TATTTTTTTTTTAAATATTATTTATTTATTTGAAAGGCAGAGTTACAGAGAAGGAAAAGGAAGGGACTGAGCAAGAGAAAAAAAAAGATCTTCCATCCACTGGCTCTCACCTCAAATGACAGCAACAGCCAGGGCTGGGCCAGACCAAAGCCAGGAGCCAGGAGTTTTATCCGGTCTCCTACATGGGTACAGGGGCCCATGTACTTGGGCCATCTTCCACTGCTTTCCTAGGAGCTTTAGCAGAGTTCTGGATAGAAAGTAGAGCAGCTAGATGTTGAACAGAGGCCCATATGGGATGCCAGCATCACAGGTAGCAGCTTAACTCACTGCACCACAATGCCAGCCCAGAGTGTCTATTCCTTTTATTTATTTTTTTTAATTTTTTTTTTACAGGCAGAGTTAGACAGTGAGAGAGAGAGAGAGACAGAGACAGAGAGAGTTATAGAGTGAGAGAGAGAGACAGAGAGAAAGGTTTTCCTTCCGTTGGTTCACTCCCTTAATGGCCGCCATGGCCGGCGCTGTGTCGATCCAAAGCCAGGAGCCAGGTGCTTCTCCTGGTCTCCCATGCAGGTGCAGGGCCCAAGCACTTGGGCCATCCTCCACTGCACTCCTGGGCCACAGCAGAGAGCTGGACTGGAAGAGAAGCAACTGGGACAGAATCCGGCGCCCCAACCAGGACTAGAACCCGGTGTGCCGGCGCCGCAGGAGTAGGATTAGCCTAGTGAGCCACGGCGCCGGCCCATTCCTTTTTATTTTTAACACTCCTTCCACCTCAGTCAACCACAGTTCTAATTTTTTTCACCTTAGATTTTCCTGTTCTAGAATTTTATATAAATGTAGTCATAACTTTTTGTGTCTAACTTTTTTGCTTACTTCTTCTGCTTACATCTGAAATTCATTCATTTTGCTGAACGTATTAGCAATTCATTCCATCTTATTGATGAGCTGTACTCCATTCAAATCACACACGACAATGTGTTGACTCATACCTTGTTTATGTGCATTCATGCTATTTTTGGTTTTTTAGTATTCTGAATAAAGCTGCTAAGAACATTATTATATGATAATTTTGATAAAACTTCATTTCTCGTGGATTAACACCTAGGAGTTGAACTGCTGGGTCAATGAGTAGATAGAGGATGAATAGATATGTTTTACTGTCTTAATTTAAAAAAAATTAAGAAAAATTTTGAAAAAAGAGATTTAACCTGTATTATTATTGTTAACTTGTACTATTTTTTTTTTCTTTTCCCTCCCCTCCCAATAGCATTTGGGTCTGTCAAATCTTAGACTTCCCACACTAGGTCTCTAACCCACTTTTTTCAGTGTGAATCATCAAAAATGGGGAAATTCTGAAGTTAAATCTGTCCAAGAGGAACTAGGCTTAATAACATTCACAAGAAACCCTAAGACACAAGTGATACTTCAAGTGAACTGAAGGAAAGCACAGAAGGAATGCAGCATCCGTGGACAGACACAATCACAAAAAAAAGCCAAAGTAAACTCGAGGCAATTGTACTCTAAGGTGCCACCAGAATAGACACTTAGCTTAAAAAGAAAAAGAAAAAAGTATGTCCTTCTTGGGATTTGATTATCGTTTATACCCTTTGTCAACACTCCTGAGGAACAAGGGTCTTTCTATTTTCTACTTGTTGAATTTTTTATTTAGTGGAAGATTAAGCCTGTGATTATAAAACAAACTGAAATGTTATTACAAAAATTAAAAGAAAAAAAAGAAGTATCATTATGTTCTTTAAATTGTACCTATGAGATACATGAAATCTATTGTTTTTATATAAATTTTTAAAAATGTAAAAGAAAAGAATGTATCATAAAAATACTGGAATCAACATATCAAGAATGAAAATGTCAGTGGCCAGTGCTGTGGCGTAGCATGTAAAGCTGCCACCTGCAATGCTGGCATCCCAAATAGGCACCATTTGGAGGCCTAGCTGTTCCACTTCTGATCCAGCTCTCTGCTATGGCCTGGGAAAGCAGCAGAAGATGGCCCAAGTCCTTGGGCCCCTACACCTGTGTGGGAGACCTGGAAGAGGCTCCTGGCTCTTGGCTTTGATCAGCCCGGCTTTGATCAGCTCAATTCCAGCCATTGCAGCCATCTGGGGAGTGACCCAGTGGATGGAAGACTTCTCTCTTCCTCTGTGCCTCTGCCTCTCTGTAAGTTTGCTTTCCAAATAAATAAATAAATCTTTTTTTTTTTTTTTTTTGACAGGCAGAGTGGACAGTGAGAGAGAGAGAGACAGAGAGAAAGGTCTTCCTTTTGCCGTTGGTTCACCCTCCAATGGCCGCCACAGTCGGCGCGCGCACCGCGCTGATCCGATGGCAGGAGCCAGGTACTTATCCTGGTCTCCCATGGGGTGCAGGGCCCAAGGACTCGGGCCATCCTCCACTGCACTCCCTGGCCACAGCAGAGAGCTGGCCTGGAAGAGGAGCAACCGGGACAGAATCCGGTGCCCCGACCGGGACTAGAACCCGGTGTGCCGGCGCCGCAAGGCGGAGGATTATCCTAGTGAGCCACGGTGTCGGCCAAATAAATAAATAAATCTTAAAAAAAAAAAAAAGAATGAAATTATCAGAAATAACCTTACCTTAGGGGAATAGTTGTAAACAAATTATGAACCAAAGTTTGGTCACTTCGATATTGAAACTGAAAAAACCCAAGCAGTATCATGGAGATCTATTCTCAGGAAGGGATGGGTGGAAAAAAAAATATGATGTAACAGAAAACTGTACTGCCTCCTGTCAATGGCAGATTTCAGCAATACCAGCTGAGCCCACGACCCACCCACCACCACCTCTTTCTGAGAACTTGGCTTGCATTCTAACCCACCAGAGGGTCATAGTGTCACTCTTTCCTTCTGGCTACAGCTTTCTAGACTGGAGCGGACATCTGATAGGTCAAGTTTGGATTCTAAATACTATGAGAAGCCACGAAGTATTTTGTGCAAGTAGTAATACAGTCCAATTTATGATTCAAAAATATTTTGGAGAGAAAATTAACAGGTATTTGTAACAGTTTTCATATCTAGTGGTTGGGACCAGCACTGTGGCACAGTAGGTTAAAGCCCTGGCCTAAAGCACCAGCATCCCATACGGGTGCCGGTTCTGGTCCAGCTGCTCCTCTTCTGACCCAGCTCTCTACTGTGGCCTGGGAAGGCAGTAGAGGATGGCCCAAATCCTTGGGCCCCTGCACCCATGTTGGGGGCCCAGAGGAAACTCCTGGCTCCTGGCTTCGGATTGGCACAGCTCCGGCTGTTGCAGCCATTTGGGGAATGAACCACCGGATGGAAGGCCTCTCTCTCTCAGTCTCTACCCCTCTCTGTAACTCTTCAAATAAATAAAAATAAATCTTTAAAAAATATTTCTAGGGGTTACTTAGGGTTCATACTGGTGTGGAGGAAAATGGCAAGACACAGTGACCCCTCCAAAATCTGGAAGGAGAGGAACAAAAGTTTTCCAAGAAACCTGACATAGAGGAAGACCCAGAAGACAGTGGGGTCATGAAAGCCAAGAGAGCAGTTTGGGGAAGAAATAAGTGGTTATCTGTGTCTTCAGGAGTAAAGATGCAGAGTCTGTTTATGAAAAAGACAGACTTCTGATAAGGGAGCAGAAAAATGGGGCCACAGGTGTGAGAAGATGAATTGAGCAGGAAGTGACTACAGCATGCTTGCAGCTTCTTGTTGCACAATATTAAAAAGCCATATCCTTGACAGACAAGGGATCCACCTAGTGACCTCTTACACCAGCGGGGGTCCCAGCAGCAAACATGGCACACTCAGGGGATAAAAATTACATAACGAAGAGACAATGAACAGCAGTGCAGGCACGGTGAGGAAACCAGCAATGCCTGGAGGAGCACCCAGGAATTAGCACCAGGGTGAGTGAATACATTACCATCCGAAGACTGAGGAGGTAAGAGAAAGAAGCAGACAGAGTTGGAAACACAAAAGGGGGAAGGGGTGTCACCGACACCAGCAGGAGTAGAGTGCCTCCTGCAAGAAGCATGGCCCAAAGCAGGGAGGATGGGGAAGAAATATCATAACCTTTTCTCTCTTCAAACTCCTGATACCCTCATCACAAAACTGGCAGAACTCTCTAGAAGCCAGAAGATGTAGGTCATGCATTCCTGGATGGCAGAAAGGCATGAAGAATAGAAAATGGTCTGAGTGGCTAAGAACCAGCATATCCTTGCATACCTCCCACATTCATCTCTGTCCATTCTTTCCTTCCCCTCCATCCTCAGGGGGCCTTCTTACAGATTCAGAAACATACCATGCTGAATGGTCTTGGAGCAGGCTGATCTCACTATTTGGACTTCTCTTCACCTCATTAGCTCAAAACTAGCCTTGCACCATTGCCTTATATGTCACTTTCTCAGAGAAGCCTTTCCTGGCCCTCACTATCTACCCACTCTCAATGAAATACCACTGTTGTATTCGCTCATAGCAGCCCATCTTTGTCTTCCACAGCATTCAGCACAGTTTGCAATGACAGATGTATTGTGGCACTGCTTGTTTCATATCTGTCTCCTCCATCAGACTGTAAATGCTGAGAGGACAGAAATTGTATCTCTTTTTCACGGCACAATTTCTGGCTCTGCTCCTAATTCTAGATTCCTATTAATGTAGATTCTGGGAGGCAGCAGTGATACCTCCAGTAGTTGAGTCCCTACCACCCACACAGGAAAGTTGGATTAAGTTCCCAGTTCCTGGCTTCAGCCTGGCCCAATCCAGCCATTGCTGAAATTTGGGATAGTGAACTGGAGCATGAGAATTCTCATGTCTCTCTCTCTCTCTGTGTCTCTCAAATATATATATATACATTTATTTATGCATATATTTATCAATACATATATTGATATTAATACATATATGAATATATGTATTATTAATATATTAATATATTTATTATATATCTATATATATGTATGTGTGTGTATATATATATATAGAGAGAGAAATTTTAAAACAAATTTTAGGAGCTGGTGCTGTGGCATAGCAGGTAAAGCTGCTGCCTGCAGTGCCGGCACCCCATATGGGCACCAGTTTGAGTCCCACTGCTTCACTTCCGATCCCACCCTCTGCTATGGCCTGGAAAAGCGGTAGAAGATGGCCCAAGCCCTCAGGCCCCTGCACCCGCGTGGGAGACCCAGAAGAAGCTCCTGGATGTTAGCTTCAGATAGGCACAGCTCCGGCAATGGGCCAATTGGGGAGTGAACCAGCGGATGGAAGACCTCTCTCTCTCTCTCTCTCTCTGCCTCTCCTTCTCTCTGTGTGTAACTCTTTCAAGTAAAATAAATAGATCTTTTTAAAAAATTTTAAAAATAAGGTAAGTATCCAAATGCATACATATTGAAAGATTTAATAAGTTTCCTATTATACCAACTCTCATACTACCTAAGATCTCTGGATACAAACAGTTTAGAAATAATTGATCTTATATTTAATAGGTCAAAGTGCTATGCCAGAAATTTAATAGATGTTATGCCATTCACTCTTCACAGCAACCCAATGAGACAAAGACTCTTTTTAAAAAAAAGATTTATTTATTTATTTATTTATTTGAAAGTCAGAGTTACACAGAGAGAGAAGGAGAGGCAGAGAGAGAGAGAGAGGTCTTCCATCCATTTAGCAATGGCTGGAGCTGTGCTGATCTGAAGCCAGGAGCCAGGAGCTTCCTCTGGATCTCCCACGCAGGTGCAGGGGCCCAAGGACTTGGGCCATCTTCTACTGCTTTTCCAGGCCATAGCAGAGAACTGGATCAGAAGTGGAGCAGCTGGGACTAGAACCGGTGCCCAAATGGGATGCTGGTACTTCAGGCCAGGGCTTTAACCTGCTGCGCCATAGTGCTGGCCCCCCAATAAAGACTCTTAATAGCTCTGTTTTCCCAGAGAGACAGCTGAGACCTGAGAGGTTAAATAATATATAAAAAGTCACACAGCTCTGTGAGGGTACCTGCACATAAACCATGGCTGATGCTCCAAGCCCCTCCTGCTCTCTGTGCTGCCTCCTTAAAACTCTAACTGTGGTTTTGTTTATTGAAATATGCTTATCTTCTATCCTAGACCATGTGGAGATCCATTCAGAATCCCAGAGCTGATATAAAGATGATTTTAAGCAGATGACATTTGGAATCCAACAGATGCAAACATAAGACTTTTTTGGAACTTCCTTTATCTGACTCAAGGCAGAAACTTCTGAGAAATGAAGACTGCCGTAAATTCCCTCTTGAGAGTGGTTTCTACTCCCAGTTAAGAATGCAAGGGTAAATTTACCATAAAGCCCCTCTCCAGGGGAGTTTCATGACCCTGAAAAAGACAGAAAGACCATTCATACCTGTTCCAAGAAACATCACAATCGGTATTATCTCTTGTTTGTTTTCCTAGAAAACCCATTTGTCCTTCCTATTTGTTCTTCTCACAGGAGCCTTTTCTCCCTGCTCCTCTTCCCCTCCTAAGTTTGGTTTGTAAGTCTCCAATTTTGAACACCCCTTTGGGGTACAAATCACTGAACATTTTGGCTTGTGTGCACATTGCACACATTAAACAAACTTCCTTGTTCATCTGCTGTTTGTCAGTTTAATTCACAGCCCCCAGGGTGTGAACATTAGAGGGCAGAAGAAAAGTTTCTCTCCCCTACACTGTAAGTTCCTTGAGGAAAAATAATTTTTTAGAAGATTTATTTTATTTGAAAGGCAGAGTTACAGAGAGAGGGAGGAAGGAAGGGCAGGAGGGAAGAAGAAGAAAGAGAGAGAGAGAGAATCTTTCATCTACTGGTTCACTCCCCCAAATGGCCACAAGGGCCTCAATTCCTTGGCTAGACCAAAGACAAGAGCCAGGAGGTTCATCCTGGTCTCTGATGTGGAAGTATGGGTCCAAGCACTTGGGTCATCTTCCACAGCTTTCACAGACCCATTAGCAGGGAGCTGCATTGGTAGTGCAACAGCTGAGACTCAAATCATTGTCTACTGGGGATGCCAGCATTGAAGGCAGTAGCTTAACCCACTATACCACAATGCTGGCCTTAAGTAGCAATAACTTTTAGTTATTTATTTAATTCCACTGCACATTGCAGGTGCCCAGTAAATGTTAAATGTTTACTCGATGCCATCAGGAAAGCATACCTACCACTGATTGTCCTCCAGCCTATACAAGTCTTTAGCCACATACATTCTGTTTACAAAAGAGCAGTGATCTGTCCACCAGAGTATTTGAGCTTCATTGCAGTGAACTCTTCCTCTACAGCACAACCCCTTTGATGAACTGATTTTGGGGATTGATGGAGATTTAGCATAAACTTTGGAAACACAGGGGTCTTTCTCGGGACACTTGACCTTATCCAGAAAGACCCTGTCTCGGAAATCAGTCAGCTGATCCTTTTTGAAGTTCTTCCCCTCTGAATTTGACTTGACCATGCAGGATGAGTCCCCACTGACACAAGTGCCTGGTTGCTTCTCTGACAGCACATTCTTAGGAATAGAGTTTTCAGAGGGCTGGAAAACAGAGGCAGCTCATCCACTGTGGGCTCACCTGTTTCAGGAGACAGAAGGAGATAGGGATCCCAGGGGACAGGAAAATGATTCCAAGAACACTTCTGCCTCCATCTCTCTTCCTGCTGGCACCTGCCCGTTCTTGCAAATATGTTAGCCCTTTAGAGCACACACAAGGCTTCAGGAATAGGCCCACCGGAGCCCCGCTGACAGCCTTGAAAGGGGATTGAATTTCAGCCAAGAAGAGCCCAACTGTTGGCAGAATGGAGTAAGCAAGGGTGTGCCCTGCTATCAGCTTACCCGCAGCACAATGCTGACAATGCCATGGGCAGCCTCAGACCACTTAACTCCTTCCTTCTTCATGGTGACAATGCCATGGGCAGCCTCAGACCACTTAACTCTTTCCTTCTTCATGACTTCTTTCTCTTTTCTGTTTTTCCCCTGGTTTTCTTTTCTCTTTCACTCTTCCCAACCCATCTACTTTTGTGGAATTAGGAGACCTGGAAAGGACCTTGTCTCATCTACTCCAGAGTATCACAAACCCTTGTAAAATCACCCAGGAAGTTTTATCAAAATAGAGATTTCTTAGACCCCACCTAATTCATACAGTTACAAACAACAATTGCTTTCATCAGCCAAGGTATGGCACTTTTCATAGTTTCTTCAGACAGCCCTTTTGTTCCCAGTCTATGTGGTTCCACTAAGGCTACCAATTCTGCAAGGCACACCTTCCTAGCAGTTACTGATCTTAGGATAGGTACCTGTTTGAACTTGGCCAATCAGAGTTATCCCTTGTGATGTCAGACTCAGTAGAAAAAAACACAAAAGTGTCTCTTTCCCCCTTGGAAGCCTAACTGAAAAAATGGTACTTATTCCCCTCAAGGTGACAGTCCTATCTTCTACCAACTGGGGGAAAGAAACCTGTCCACAATAAAGGAAAGGAGAATCAGAGAGAGTTTGGGTGATATTTACTAAGTTCCTGAGAAAAATTCCCAGTTTCCTGGTTAATATATGTTCTTGCTCTATTTAAATTAGTTTTAAATGACATATATGACTAAGTTTACAATACTTAGAACAACCCCTTTTGTCCTTTGTAAGCACAAAGCAGAGGTCCACATAAGGAATTTGATGATATTATTAAGGTAGAATTTAGTAAGCATATACCACATGCAGAACCCAATGAGAAGCCAGTTATATATATTACATCATGTGATCCTCTGTTGAGACAGCAAAACAGAGGGATTCAGGGGTCAGACTCTGCTATTCCCTAATGATCCCTTTCTACACACACCAATTCAGTTTGGGAGACTAGCAATCATTCCTCCTGAGTCCAATGCCTGCAGTGACCTAAGTACCTTCCATTGAGCCTCATCTCTCAATATCATCACATTGAGAGCCAGGCTTCCAGCACACGAACCTTTCAGGAAACACACTCAAACAACAACACTACCATTATACAGATGAATGTAATCGCTATTATGACTAGCAGCAGAATATTGTCACTGTTTATTCTGTGCTAGGGACTACTGTAAATTTTTTAAAATATTACCTCATTTACTTGTCTGAAGCAGCATGGTAGGCTTCTCCTATCCTCCATTATAATAAGAAAACTCAAGCACAAAGATGTCACATCATTTTCCAAGTCCTAAGAAGCAAAAAAGATTCAAAGATGAGCAATCTGGTTTCAGCGTTCCAGTTCATAACCATTCTGCTATACTCACTTGATTAACTTATCAAAATGACTAAGCTACTAGGAAAGAGAATTACAGAATTTGGGCATAGGTCTGTCTGACAGCATAGCTGATTGTGCTCATTATACACTACCCTTTCTTCTCTGTAGGTAACTTTTTTATTTCACAGTACTGCACATAAATGGGGCCCCTGAGGTTGTGCAATACTTAATTTACATGTCTCTTTGTGGCAATCCTCATCATGTGACTAGAAACCAAATATGCTGACTTCTAGAGGGGAACAGTCAGGTATGATCAAAAACAATACTCACAGGCCCAGATACTGAAACCAAGGTGCACTTGTTTGCCTGCTGTCAATTGGGTAGTGCAGGAAGTAGAAACCAAGATGGAATCAGAGCTGGCACCGTGGCTCACTTGTCTAATCCTCCACCTACAGCGCTGGCACCCAGGTGCTAGTCCCGGTTGGGGCGTCAGTCCTGTCCCGGTTGCTCCTCCTCCAGTCCAGCTCTCTGCTGTGGCCCAGGAGGGCAGTGGAGGATGGCCCAAGTGCTTGGGCCCTGCACCCACATGGGAGACCAGGAGGAAGCACCTGGCTCCTGGCTTTGGATTGGCACAGCGCCGGCCATAGCGCGCCGGCCGTAGCGGCCATTGGAGGGTGAACCAACAGAAGGAGGACCTTTCTCCCTGTCTCTCTCTCTCTCTCACTGTCTAACTCTGCCTGTGTAAAAAAAAAAAATGGAATCAGAAATGTAAGAGATTTACAGGGGGAGACCCTATAAAAGAATAAGGGAAGAGAGGGCAAGAGAAGATGGGGAGAGCCTCAGACAGCAAAAAGTTCTGACACCTCTCAAGGAAGAAAAGCAAAGAAGGAAAGAAGATGGGGTAGGAAGTGTCCAGTTATAGCATACCCCTGGGGAAATCTGGGGAGCTCAGGGCAACAACGTCTTATAGAGGAGTCCTCGCTTATGGGCTGGGAGTTGTTCAAAGAGACTAAGGACTAACTGATCACGGAGGAGTGGTTGCTGGAAGCTGTCATTCAATCACATTTTTGGATCTGGTTCTCTTGAAGCGAGCTTCAGAAGGTGCCTTTCCATGGCTACCATGCCTGGGTACCAAGAATTAAACTCCTCTGGGGTAAACACGGGAGAAGCAATCATGTGAGATAAGCAGTCAGTGTCCACTGTCTACTACTGCTCCTCACACATAGGAGTAATTAACACTGCTGAGTATGCCTTCCTTCAAAACATGTGTTGGATTGGCCTCACTGAAAGTGTCAGCTCATTTAAACATGTTTTCCTGAAAAGTGGTGGGTGGGGTGTTTTCTCGTTTATTATTCTACCGTAGACAGATTTAAATTGCCACAAAGAAGTTACTATAGAAACTGCTCCCCAACTTAAAAGATAAAAGGTAAAAATGGAACACTTGGTTGGCATGCAAATGGTTAGTCTCAGGAGACCACTTGTTAACAAACTGCTGGTTCAGTTTTTCTGAGTCCTTGAAGGGGCTCTTTGGAACAAATGTAGACAGGCAGGTTTTTTTTTTTTTTGGTCTTACATCCTACAGAACCCCAGCTGACTGTGAAAACATCACAGGTGATGATAAATCTTGAGGAAGTTTAGGTCCACCCAAACTTGGAATTGGGAAGCACAAAGTGGATGACGATACTGTACTCTCAGAACAGCTCTGGTGAGGCTGACTCTGCCCTACCATAAACATACAAATAGGCTCAGGGTGGAGAAGGCGGGTATTTTTGTGCCAGGCCCATTCTGGAGGTGTACTCTGGACTGGCTGGTTTGAAAGTTAACTTGCTGAGTTCTTACTTAAGCGGAATTGTTTCTCTTTCTTATCTCCTTTGGCCACATTCCATCCTTTGAACCATGGGTCTGACAGTTCTTTCAACAAGGAACATAGCCTTCTCATTTGATAGCTCCTTCCTCTACATATCTCTGCTCAATTTTACCAGACCTTCCCCACCCCTTCTCCAACTCACTTTGCCTGAGCCCAAGCACTCCTATCTTGACAAAGCTCCAAGACAGTTCTGTTCTGAATTCTGTTCTTTATACTTTTTTGCCTGGCAATTCCTTCAATTTGCTTCTTCCAGGGCCTTAATCCCAAAGTCTTCCTGAAACTCCTTTCAAAGGCAGCATTACAGAGGCAGAGGCATAGGTAGGTGGGAAGGGAGAGAGAGAAATCTTTCATGTGCTGGTTTACTCCCCAAATGGCCGCAACGTCCGAGCTGTGCCAATCTGAAGCCAGGAGCCAGGAGCTTCTTCCGGGTCTCCCACACGGGTGCAGAGGCACTTGGGCCATCTTCTACTGATTTCCCAGGCCATAGCAGAGAGCTGGATCAGAAGTGGAGCAGCTAGGACTTGAACTGGTGCCCATATGGGATGCCAGCACTGCAGGCAGTGGCTTTACCTGCCATGCCACAGCGCTGGCTTCTTCCTGCAGATCTTATGGACAATTCTTTTTTATCTTTCAAGTTCAGCTTAAATACAGTGTTCTCAAGGAGGTCGCAAATATTTTCTTTATTTTTCTCTAACATCATTCTTGATAACATCATCTTATTTTCTTCAAATACTTATTATTTGCAATTATCTTAAATGTTTCCTTGATATTTATCTGCTTCCTCCAATGACCTTTAAGCTTCAAAGAGCTTGGACCCAGGAGTATTCTCCACTTCTGACATATAGAAGATGCTCAATAAATATCAGAAGAATGAAAACAACTGTAAAATTGAAGCAGTTGGGCCAAATGAAATTGAAGGTAACATAAGCAGTGACAAAAATAAGTAAGTGAAAAAGTGATAAGTCATTACAACAAAACACTGAAAGCAGTATTTATATGAGGGTAATTTTAAAAGATCATGGAGGGTAGGCATATGGTACAGCAGTTATGATGCCATTTGGGATTCCTAAATCCCATACTGGAGTGCCTGGTCCCACTCCTGGCTTCTCTGCTTCTGATCCAGTTTTCTGCTAATGTGCACCTTGGGAGGCAACAGGCGATGGCTCAAGTACTTGCATTCCTGCCACCCACATGGCAGACCCGGATTGAATTCAGCGCCTTTGGCTTTGGTCTGTCCCATCCCTGGCAGTTGAAAGCATTTGAGAGGTAAACCAGAGGATGGGAGATCAATCTCTGTCTCTCTCTTTATCCCTGCCTTTCAAATAAAAATGAAATTAAACAAAGAGTTCACAGGATCTCTGCCTATACCAATAGTGCAAACGGAGCTCAGTGATTCTCCAGGTAGCACAGTCCACTCTTGGATTCAAATTAGTAAGCCTTATTTTTATACACCGAAATGAACTTACTTTTACCTCCACTTTTTCATGAACTTTTTGAAATACTGTCATATTTACGCTTCAAGAACACAAACCTGCAAATTCTGGGGTGTACCATATACAAAATATGTACGTATGGATATATGTGTATGTATAGTGTTATTTCTCTAATTTCCCATAGAGTGTGAACTGAGTTTCTAAGGTTTCTAACAAAGTATCTCACAGGGATATCAGGTAGCTGTCTAAATTCAGACGACTGTATTACAGAATTAGAGTGGAAAGACTTAGAATACAAATTCTTCAGTTTAAAGGGTGGAAATCAAGGCCCAGCAATATGCTTGGACATTTGTGAACACAGTGATGTATCTGGCAAAGAGGACTATATATACCAGCCACATTTCCTTCTAATCATTGTTAACATAACACTTCACATTTGAATGCGGCTAGAACCGGCACCAGGGGTTCAGACACTTCAGCGTTACCAAAATCACCTGGAGGAGGTTTCAAAGCTCAGGACGCAGGGTCTCAACTCCAATTTCCGGGTTGGCAGAATTGTCTGGCGCAGGGGAACCAGAAAATAGGCGAAACCCGCCTAACCTCAGAACCCCGGCCGTCTGGGCGCGCAGGGAAACTGCAAATCCCGGCGTGCCCCGCGCGCCGCAGGCGGAGAGCCGGGCACTTCCGCCCCACGCAGCGCCCCTGCCGCCACGTCTCGACGTGTCACCGGCAGCGCCGTGGCTGTGGCAAGGGAAGGAGCTGACGGAGGGAGTTCAAGGCGGCGGGCGGCGGCGGCGGTGACCCCGGCCTGGACCTGCCCCGGCACGGAAATATCCAGGGGTCCGTGGGGAGCAGGAAAGGAAGGGGGCGGCCCGAACTGCGCGGGCAGGATGTTGAACATGTGGAAGGTGCGGGAGCTGGTGGACAAAGCGTGAGTATCGGGACAGTTGTGGCCGAGGCCCACGCGGGGGAGGGGAAAGGGGAGGTGGTCCCGCGCTCGGGGTCGTTCGCGTCACGCCCCCCACCCCGGCCAGCCCCATCATGGCGGCGGCCGGCTCCCTCTCCGGTCCGGGGCCTCGTTCCTACCGGCGAGGCTGGGAAGGGACCCTCCCCCGTTCAAAACATTCTCTTACCCTTCTTCTCGCCTATGCAGGCCTTCCTATCTTTTCCCCTATCCCAACCCCCGAGTACGGAGCCTTTGGTCAGAGGAGGGGCGGCTTATCTGGAGCTGGGTCACTGCCTTGGCTGGAGCACTGTCTTGGCTCCAGGCTCTGAGCTTTGCCTCCTGGGCAGCAGGGACGGCTTGAGGGTGGGGGACGCAGTGCACTGGCCCTCGGTGTCCCTCAGGGTGTGGAACAGACAGACCTTAGGCTTGTTCGGGGAGTGTCTTTATTATTATTATTATTATTTTTAACCTTGCTGGGCTTTTTATTTTAAATCCTAATGAGCTTGAGTGTTGGAGTGGGTGGTAGGTGTAACAAGTGGCCATTGTGGTCAGGCTGAAGTTACTTAAGAGGAGACTCATGGTCTGCTTTTCCAGCACTAGTGAAAGTCAATCATCATATAACTTAGTGTGGTTATTCTCTTTTGTTTCCTTTAACACTCCACTTCTTTTCTTGGTGGGCCACTTGTTCCATTCCGTTTCATTAAGAAGTCATTAAGGAATTTCCCCTAAAAAAATAAAACATTCCAGCTTCATATCCTGTTGATCTGCTTTTAACTTTCCAGACAGGTAAAATAGCCAGTACATACGTGACTTTCTTTAAGACTGGAAAAAACTTCAGTGACTTACTGCAATAAAAAAATCTTAACACTTAAATAGAGTGTATCAGATATAACAGTATGATCTAGGCCAGCAGGAAATGAAGTTTATAAATTCAGCCAACCCTTCCTTTTGAGTTTTAGTGATGATTATGCAATGTGTGGTGAGAAAGATTCATTTGTGCCACCCACCTAACCCAAAACCAGGAAGTGTAGATGGCAAACTTCTTGACACCAGAAAACGGCATAATGCACACTGGTTTGGATAGTAGATCAGTTAAAACTAGAGTTTCACCTATTTTAAAATTTTTTATTCAACCAAAAAGACATTAGGAGCACAGTTTGCACACCTGCAGAGCTGTGTTCAAGCATTGTAACCCTGGGCAAGTTTCTTAACTTCACAGTGTCCCAGTTTTCTATGGTAGAAAATGAAAATAATGATACCTAACTCAGAAGGTTGTGAAGATTAAATTGCACATAAAGCAGTTTAGTAAACTTTTGAAATTATACCAGATGTTCTGCATTTTAGAGTGAGATAAACTTAATTAAGAGAAACTGCAGGTTTGAGAAGTGTTTGCTTTAATAATTTTTTTTTACAAGTGTTCATTTGTACATTAAACCCTTCTGATACTTTTGGGCTGTTTTGCTGTTTATATACCCCTTGCTTTTGGGTACCAATTATAACAAAGTAATGGTTCACCTCTAGATCCAAGTTCATTAGGAAATGACCTTATTTTAAGATTTATTTATTTATTTGAAAGCCTGAGTTACAGAGATCTTTTATCCACTGATCCTCTGCTCAAATGGCCACAACGGCCCTGGCTGAGCCAGGCCAAAGCCTGGACCTGGGAGCTTCTTCCTGGTCTCCCATGTGGGTGGCAGGGGCCCAGTCACGTGACTGTCTTCTGCTGTTTTTCCAGGCTCATTAGCAGGAGCTGGATTAGAAGTGGAGCAGTGAAAACTCAAATCCCCATTGATAGGGGATCCTGGCTGGCATCACAGGCAGCTGCTTAACCTGCTAAGCTTTAATGCTGATGCCTCAACTTTTTTTTTTGACAGGCAGAGTTAGTGAGAGAGACAGAGAGAAAGGTCTTCCAGTTCACCCCCAAATGGCTGCTACGGCCGGTGCGCTGCGCCAATTCAAAGCCAGGAGCCAGGTGCTTCCTCCTGGTTTTCTATGAGGGTGCAGGGGCCCAAACACTTGGGCCATCCTCCACTGCCTTCCCGGGCCACAGTAGAGAGCTGGACTGGGAGAGAAGCAACCGGGACAGGACCAGCGCCCCAACCGGGACTAGAACCCTGGGTGCCAGCGCTGCGGGCAGAGGATTAGCCAAGTGAACCACGGCGCTGGCCTCCCCCAACTTTTTAAAAACTTTCCAAAACTACCTCTTTCTTTCAAGTCCGAGGAGTGCAAAAGAAAACCGCCAACAAACAGAGTTATTTTAGAGGACTAAATTTATGGTACTTAAAAATTTGAAGAAGCTGTACAGTTTTCAGATGGTAGAATTCAAGGCCATGTTCCTGCTATGGGTGTCTTTTCTAATTTTTTATCTTTATCACTAATTTTACTAATCTGCAGGTTAAATTCACTGTGTGAGTAGTTATCAGGTCACCTAATGGAAGACCTGTTCTTGAAAAATAACTTTTGTCTTCCTTTTTATTACCCAATTTAGAATGGAAATTGAAGCAAATTATTCAAGAATGTGTAAGAATGTTGCTGCCAAGGACCTTTTAAAGCTTTTGTAGGTGTTTGACACATGATAGTATGTTTAGAACATGGGGTTATTTTACTAGCTACTCAGGATTTAGTTTTCGTCTTTCACTAGCACAAAGAGAAGAAATTTCTTCCCCCTAAATGTAAACATCTTAACAGAACATGTACCTGTGTCAGTGTGTCCAGTTAGACTGTGTACCTTAAAATACTGTAGTTTAAGTGAAGCAAATCTATTGAATGCTCTGTCAAAGGTTTAAAATGATGACACTTAGAAATGAAGAGGCAGTGAAGTGATTAAGGGCTGCTCTGATACCTCAGTTAATAGACTCAAGGCCTGTGTGATAGGTCACTGGATTAGGGAATTTGAGGGGTTGGGTTCAGATTCCGACTTCGCCTTTTAAACTAGCTGTGTGTGTGATCTGAAACAGAATCATATGAATCTACAGATTTTGGGTTCACTCTCTGTAAAATGAAGGGACTGGGCTAAGGTTAGACCTTTTCCAACTTTGATGGCAATTTAGAGAAATGAGTTTCCATCAAGGAAGAAATAATTGAAACTAGTGCTTCACAATAGCAGGTAGAGTTTAGGCTGGAAAGGGAAATTTTTCAAGTGATAATTAGTAGATGTGTATTTGAAATTTTTTGCAATATGTACAGTTCATGACTCAGGAAAATTGGGTCTTACACTGCATATCCTCATCCAGTGAAGTTTACTTCAGAAAGAAAAATGTACTTTCAAATGAGTTCCCTAGAGTAGCTGCTTACTTATTTCTAATGTAGTAGCAGTTCTTAAGTATAATGACGTAAGTCAAACATTGACTTTTGAGACCTTGAAGACTTTGGGAAGGTGGGAGGATATTTTCTACAGTTGTTACACTTCCTGGTGGTATTAAATGGATCTGTTTATGCTGAGCATTGTGGAACTGAGAGAAAGCAGATGGAGCCATAGGCTAGCCGAGCTTGGAGTGCCAGTTTCCTCCTACTGGTCGTCAGGTTGCATAAGAGGCAGCTGTGGCAGGAAGGGGTAAGTGGCATCACTCCTAGTAAGAGGGACTAACTTGACCATAGTCATCCTGTGCCTTACAACCCATTATTTGAGGCAATGCTAAAATTGTATCTGTTTCTGTTTCTCCTCCCCATCACTGATATAAATTGAAAGTTGCTGCAGTTCTGTTAATTTATTATTATTATTATTAAAGATATATTTGAAAGAGTTAGAGAGGTAGAAACAGAGAGAGAGGTCTTCCATCTGCTGGTCCACTCCGCAGATGGCCACAACGGCTGGAACTGCGCCGATCCAAATCCAGGAGCCAGGAGCCTCCTCCGGGTCTCCCACGTGGGCGCAGGGGCCCAAGGACCTGGGCCATCTTCCACTGCTGTCCAGGCCATAGCAGAGAGCTGGATTGGAAGAGGAGCAGCCGGGATTGGAACCGTTGCCCATATGGGACGCCGACACTGCAGGCCGGGGCTTTAACCTGCTGCATCATAGTGCCGGCCCCCAGTTCTGTTAATTTTCTCTCCAGGTTTGAAGAATGCCGTGAAGATGACACAGCAGTGGTAGATCAAAGCTGCTATTTATTGTTCAAGCCCAGCCAAACCTTCTCTTTTCTTTCAGAGGGTGATGTTAGTGGTAAATCTGTTTTCATCAGTTGCCCTTTATCTTTTTGTAGTAGTGATTCAGAGAACTCTGGCTAAGGTCCTAAGGCAGCTGCTATAGATCATCCATTTTAAGTTTTTCTAATAATGATGGCTTGCATTTTCACCATACCTTATTTTTGTTGTAGTATATTTAGTTGTTTTTAGTTCTTAAAAGTTTAGATATTATACCAGGTTCAGAAGTACCGTTCTAGTCTAGCTGACTCCAGAAAGTACTGTTGTAGTCTAGTGCTTTTATACAGAGTACTTCATTCAGTTATTTCAACAAGAATAGATTTACTATTTATTGACTTAATACTGAATTTTCTGAACTCACAATGTACAATACCTGCCTACAAGAAACTTCCCACTACAAACATGCTACAACTGGTATGGATTAATGGTTTTACTTTTCTTTCTGCACACATTTGCCCCCTTATTTTTCCTGTCTCACCCATGAAATCTCTGTCCAGTGCTTCTTGGAACTTAAAAGCAAAGATAAGATGATAGTCAGCTTTCTAGTCTTCCCATGTC